CCAAAGAGCCAGGTTGCTGATTAAAGACGTCCGTGTGGAGTAATTGAGGGCATGTCGCAGGTTTCCGTAAGTAACAGGGGTCGCCAAGACTGAGCCCTTAATGCGATGTTTTCAAGATAGAGCTGCCTGAATTAGCAACCTTCAAATCTTGGCGTTAGCGCGATAAGACGTGGACATTCTTTCATTTGCCACCCAGCCCCATTTTAGGATGAAAAAAAATCCGCTATGGAGTCGAATACATGTGTCAGAGAAGAATATTTGCGAGCCACAACTGAACAAATCAGATAAAATTAACACACAACGGTGGGGGTCAAAAAGGACCTAAAGCATGAAACTGTAGGGCTGTGAATCGTTGCCTGCGCCATTCCTCGGTCTCTTTACGTAATGACGAACAACATGTCATGTCCTGCTGACTTGTGTTAGTCAGTAAATGGAAACTGGAGCTCGCCGAAACAGCGATGGCACTTATCACCTACCAGGGAGGCGCATAAGGGGTGTCAGCATCCATTTAGGATAGATTCAGACCCAACAGACTCGTGAACTACTAATACCGATAGGGCACTCCGAGGTATGCATATTTTACAGGCATAATTTTTAGCAATCTCCCTGTACCTGCAACCATGCGCGTCACAATTTAAGATAGTTCACAACTTTCTGTGTCCCCACTACCAGAATCTCGATCTTGGCAAATGAAGATGCTGCTGAATATGGGCCCTTGGAGAATACGACGTCAGGTGGAGGATTTTAGTGAACTGCTGACACTTCCCTCCACTTTGATTGACGTGGGAGATCTTGTACTGAGCAAATGTATGCAGACGAGGACAGACACTACACAAGTCCTTGATTCGTGACGGAACTCAAGACAACTCTAAGACGACCTTTCCCTCATCGAATACAACTGTTTACTTAATGGATCTTTTGAAATTCTAACAAGTACCCCTTTTGTGACCTCATGACTAACGGCGTATACGAGTGGCTCTTTCACGACTATGCAATAAAATTAGCAGCATCATCAGTATTATTATTGGTAATGGTAGTAGTAGTAGTAGTAGTGGTGGTAGTAGTAGTAGTAGTAGTAGTAGTAGTAGTAGTAGTAGCAGTAGTAGTAGTAGTAGTAGTAGTAGTAGTAGTAGTAGTAGTAGTAGTAGTAGTAGTAGTAGTAGTAGTAGTAGTAGTAGTAGTAGTAGTAGTAGTAGTAACAGTCGAGGCAGGTTTTCCTGAAAGGAGCCTGCACCGCCACAATGATTGGCAGCTCCGACGTTTATAAGAGTTATTTTGAGGTCTCAATAAGCACGTCAGGTGCAAAATACATGAGTAAACACATGTATCTGTCAGCTGATTTAAACTGTCGAAGCCTCGTGCTTGAGGGCGCCACGCTTAATGCCGTGAACATAGTACATTTGAAGCTGATCGTGAAGGCTTTCCTAAAGTCACGAAGTCAGAAGGTACAAAAAGAAATCGAAAATCCATCACATTCAAACAAAGGACTGCTTATCGGCTCATTTAGTGCACCATTGCCCGAGGCGTCTGGTATTTCGCGTCTGCGATAACCCTCGGAGCCGAGGCATTTGCGCATCTGTCTTTCTAAGAATGAGGGCGGTGTGGGGGGGAGGGCTAAGGTGGAGGTCGGGTTCGACATGGTCTCTAAATTTCCTCCTCTTGCACCCCCTCCCCCTTGCCGGCACCCCTCTGCATTCGCCTTACGCATAATAATAACCTGGCATAAGACGTCAGTCCGCTTTAAAAGTGGCGCCCTCTGGCCGTGTTCTGGCGCCGCGAGGAGTGCCGCCGGCCCCGGACCGCTCACTGCCACACACAAACCCCTGCCAGCGGCTAAGTACATACTCCCGTCTGTACATCGATCAACGCCATGTCTTTTGACCAGCACCACCACCTCCTCTCTTCCCTCCCCTCCCCACTCCACACTACCCCTACCGCCTCCTATGTGCCCGCCCAGTTAGGGTTGGTGCCATCCCAGTCCCCTGACTGTACCCCTTGCCTCACCCCAGCCCCGACGCGGATGCAGAATCCGCCCCCGCACCGCCACCACCCCCTCGGTGGTAGTAAGGTGAAGGTCCCGGAGCCAGCCCCAGTCGTCGCCCGGGCCGTCGGAACAAATTTGCCCAGGGGTCGACGCTCACGTGCGGGTGCGCGAGTGCATGCGCGCGACTGGGGAGGCGAGGGCGTGGGGTTTTTCGTTCTGACAGGTTTTGGCGCC